ACTTTCCAGCGGCCCGGGGCTTCGAGAAAATCGCAGTGGGCACCTCCTTGATGGTTCGCTTCTGCTGACCCACTTTGCCCGTACTCTGCAGCCGGATCTGGTCAAACTTCACTTCCGCCTTGCTGCCGTAATCGATGAAGGTGATCCTGGGCAGGAAAATATTAGGGCCGTGGGGTCCTAAGATGTTAAGGTACCATGGGAAATCCCCGCGTTGGAGTGGGAAAAGTTACCAATTGACTATTAGACTATCCATGACTATGCAAAAATCCTGATTTCTTATGGTAAGACATGGTAAAACCACCTGTATACCGCTAGAGGACCCCACGACTCTACTAGTTACTAACACCATCTATCTCTGGTACTTTGGTAGAGCAGTGGTTTGTGGTTATCTCACCAGCTGCGGCCTTGCAGTAGCCAAGAGACTTGTAACCCTTCTCAGTCTGTTCCGTGATCACCTGGCAAAACGCTGAACTTCGTCCATCTTCGTCTCTTCCGCCCAAAGGAAACAGAACTTTTCCAGGTCTAAGAGTCTAGGCTTCCGACGCAGTCATACCAAAGACCATCTTCCGGGAAAATGGCCTGGGGCGGTCACTGGGACGGTCATCTCAGGGCAACAACTTCTGCCACAAAGATCTGGCCGAAGCAACTTTCTACGTATACATATATCTTACCTATGTGTATGTATTTCCTATGTGTATGTATTTTATTTATATACATATATGTGTATATATAATTTTATAATATTATATTATACTATGCTATATAAAATTAGATTATATTACATTATATTATATTACAGTATATATCATTATGTTATATTATACTATACTATAAAATATTATTTTATATTATATTTTGTTTTTTCATATTATATTATATATATTATGATCTATTTTATATATATTATATTATATTATATTATATTATATTATATTTTATTATATTATATTATTTTATTTTATTTTATAGATATTATTCTATTTTATATATATTATTTTATTTTATATATTTTATTTTAAATTATATTTATTATTTTAAATTATATTTATTATTTGAAATTATATTATATGTTATAGGTGCCGGGCATCTGAGGGGGCCCCCGCTGTTGTCAGTTTTTGACATTACACTAAAAACAACATCATAGACGAGGGGCGTGGGGGGGGTGGGGGGGTTGGGGTGGGGTGGGGTGGGATAATAGCGTCATTTGCTGTACGTTCTCATGCACTTGCACACATACGTCATGCTACGCTGCTGTACGTTCTCATGCACTTGCACACATACGTCATGCTACGCTGCTGTACGTTCTCATGCACTTGCACACATACGTCATGCTACGCTGCTGTACGTTCTCATGCACTTGCACACATACGTCATGCTACGCTGCTGTACGTTCTCATGCACTTGCACACATACGTCATGCTACGCTGCTGTACGTTCTCATGCACTTGCACACATACGTCATGCTACGCTGCTGTACGTTCTCATGCACTTGCACACATACGTCATGCTACGCTGCTGTACGTTCTCATGCACTTGCACACATACGTCATGCTACGCTGCTGTACGTTCTCATGCACTTGCACACATACGTCATGCTACGCTGCTGTACGTTCTCATGCACTTGCACACATGCAGCAGATGATCATGATGATGATGATGATGATGATGATGAAATTGCTCCTGATGCTAAAGTTTCGTTTTTCAGCGTTTTGTGGTCCCCCCTGTAAAATGTTTGAAAAGTGACAACAGCGGGGGCCCCCTCAGATGCCCGGCACCATGTTATAGTATATGTTTATGCATTATTATATTACAGTATAGTCTTTAAAAAAGAAAAACTATCTATATATATATATTATATATATAGTATTATATTATACTATATTTCATTATATTATATCATATTATATTATATCACATATATATATATATACATATATATATACATATATTTATTTATTTGTGTGTGTGTGCAGGTTATGTTATGGAGTGTATTGTATACATTTATACTAATATACACAACCATTGGTTGCAGATAGCTCCGCAGGCCTGGCAGCGGGTGCCCGGCTGACACTGGGCTGGATGTGGCGGCCGCAGCAGGCGCACATCGGTGACCTGGAGCGGTTGACTTCAATGGGTGGCGTCAAGCCCACACCAGAAATCGGGTTGTTGACTTCAAAAAAAATGGACCCACTTTGAAAACAATGAACCAAGAGTGGAAAAATTGGATCGACCAAAGTTGAAGAATTGGATGAACCAACTTAATCATTTGATTCTTGGTGCTAAATGGACCCTGAACCAGCCCCCAAAAGTAGGAATTGATCATCCGTAGCTCCTAACAGCCCAAGATATCCCAAGATCCCTGACCATATTTGGTTAAACAAAGAGAGTTATTTTTTGCGAAATGTTGGATCAACTAATTCAAGAATCAGATTGCAGCAAAGATGCCGGATGTGGACCTTTATCCATGAAACTGTTGGTTGTCACTAGCAAAAATGGCAGGTGCAATCAAAACAAAGCATGAATGAAATTTCATTCATGGCAAGAATGGGTCCGGGAAACCAAGCATCATCAGGAGAAATAACCACCACATGGTTTGGAATTAAAACTCCACATCGGAACTAGACGACGGATGGCCCGAGAGCGTAGAGGAGCAGAGTCTTCTGTTGTTAGTATGGAAACACTATATTACAAGACAATATATTAAAAATGTATTGTAGGCAGACGAGACAATATATCACAAACACAAGACAATAGTTTGCATCGTATCTCTCGTATATTTTCTCCACACACAGAACTTTTCACAGACAGACGTTTTTGTACACAGAGACTTTTACACACAGACGCTGTTACACACTGACGTTTTACACAAAGAGGCTTTTACACAGAGAAGCTTGCACACACAGAGATGCTTTTGCACACAGAAGCTTTTACATGCAGACCCTTTTACACATAGACGCTTTTACACACAGATGCTTTTACACAGAGACGCTTTTACAGACAGACGCTTTTACACAAACACCTTCACACCCAGAGACTTTTACACACAGACGCTTTTACACGCAGACAATTTTACACACAGACGCTTTTACACACAGACGCTTTTACAGAAACACTTTCACACGAAGAGACTTTTACACACAGATGCTTTTACACACAGAGACTTTTACACACAGACGCTTTTACACACAAACGCTTTTACACAAAGAAGCGTTTACACACAGAAGCTTTTTACACACAGACGCTTTTACACACAGACATTTTTACACACAAACACTTTCACACACAGAGACCGGACCCGTGAAATCGCAATTTTATTTCAGTTCTTGGCGATCGAACCTCATTTCGTGCGAAAGGGTTGCGTTTCCTGCCGTCTCGTTGGAACTGCCCCGCGCCTTCAAGAGAGAAATCGAAAAGAAGGAGCGAGCAAGAGGGCAAGAGAGCAAGAGGGCAAGAGAGAATGTGAAGATGTGAAGATGAGAAGATGTGAAGATGTGAGGATCTGAAGATGTGAGGATGTGAGGATGAGAAGATGCGAAGATGTGAGGATGTGAGGATGAGAAGATGTGAAGATGAGCAGATGTGAAGATGAGAAGATGTGCAGATGTGAGGATGCGAAGATGAGAAGATGTGAAGATGAGCAGATGTGAACATGAGAAGATGTGAAGATGTGAAGATGAGCAGATGTGAAGATGAGAAGATGTGAAGATGTGAAGATGAGCAGATGTGAAGATGAGAAGATGTGAAGATGAGAAGATGTGAAGATGTGGGGATGTGAGGATGAGAAGATGTGAAGATGTGAGAATGTTTGGCAGACCCCCACTATTAGAAGAACCCTTCGCTCAGACGCTCTCGGGGAAAAAAAATAGATACTGTAGTCTGCACGAGACTTGATGTGGTGGTGTTGACTCTGCCTGCAGAACAGTCCAAAGAGCTACAACGTATAAGGTGGCAAACCCAAAGCCATAAAGCATTCCAAAAATAGACGGTTATTCACATGTATTCACCATCAAAAATTGGTAGTTTCTTATGCGGCTTACCACACTACTCCAGAATATGTCTGGGATGCTCATCTGGTGAACATAGCCCACTGCGGCTGGCCTTAAACTCACGCTGGTTGGAAAAGCCAATGAACTCGACCATGCATCGCTCTTGGCCGCGTTCGTCGCGGCGCAAGGATTTGATCTCTCCTGGCCGGCAAGGGGGGAGCCGCTCGCCACATTCATGGCACGTAAGCCTTTGGATGTCCTAATGATGTCCTAAGGTTCCTAAAGCTTGGTGAGTCGGAAGCAATGGTTCCACATGGTTACTAGCTCCAAGGACGTTGTGAAACTCCTTAATCATTTGAATTTGATGATCCAGCTTACGAGGCAACTGCTAGCTGGATGATCTGTCCAACAGCCATGTGCAAACAAGATGCCATTGTACCACTTCTGCTCAAAGAATGCCTCGCAAGTACGACCCACAAGGGCCGTGTGCACCGACTTTGCTGCCTCAGTGCAGATGGGAAGCATACAATGCTGGCACCTTCATGACAACCAAGAGAATTCAAGAGATGTGTTTCTCAAGGATTCTCCTGGTCTCGCCACAAATGGACTATCTCTCTCTGTGTTTCTCAGTAGGTCCTATATCCGTTTCGATCGATCAAGAAATTCAGGGGATCGCGTTTTCTGTTTGAAGACGCGGTTTCAAACCCACAGGCTTTGCCGCACCAAGATGCTGAACGAGAGGAGGTTGGTTGCCTTACGTCAGCCACATGGGAATGGGTTAGACCATTCCAAACCCTGCTGAATCCTGAACGCCGAACACCAAAGTAGCGTGCAAATGGATGTTATGATTCTTCCTAAATAGTTTAGGATCCTGCGGAAACAGAAACCCTGGCAATTTATCATTTGACAAGGTAAACATGCTATAGATACTATGTATGCGTGTATGTCTGTGCACATGCATGTTTATGTATATAAATGTACACACACACACGCACACACACACACATATATATATATATACATAACACACATCCCCTGTTCTTGACATTATACAGTATCTATATATGATATACGTATACATGTATATTATATATATAGTATGTGCATATATGTATACATATGGTCATCAATCCGCCAGAAGACACACCTTTTTGCTTTGTTCTTCTTGACTTTTGACATAGCCATAGCCATAGAAGATGGCCTACAGGGCCTACGAGTACTTAGTTAGATGATTTACCCAGTAAAAATGATGATTGTCCTTACCAGAAGGCAACAAAAAACCTGGTGAAATCCATAATGAGAATCCGACTAACTTGACCGCACATATATTGGTGGAAAATCCCTGGTGAAATCGGCATTTTTCAATTATATCCCTGGTTAGATCCCATGAGTATTCCATCAGTATTCCCAAAAAATCACCATGTTGAATGGTGAAATCCTTCCATTTTCCCCATTTTCATGTATTGTCCCCATGACTTTCCCATGAAACCCTCCATTTTTCATAGGGATTTTCCCATCTTTTCCCATGGTTTTCACCCAGCTTCCCATGGTTTCTGAAAACACCAAGCCGCTGCGGCACCACGCTGGCGCGCCCGGTGGTGCCTGCCGTCTCCGCACCCGCCTGCTCTGCCTCTGTGGGGGCAGCAGCCTGGCTGCGGCAATGGTATCCATTGGTTACTAGGGAATTATAGCCATTAGTAATTATAGTTATTTAGTTAGACATTAGTCAACTTATAGTTAGTAACTATGAGTTAGTATTATCAACTTTAGTTATACTTATAACGTTAGCTAGTGTTAGTTACATCTCATAGCACTAGTTGATATAACCATTAGCTAGTGGTTGTTCTAAAACTAATGGTATCCATTGACTAATTATATAACATTGGTTATTAGCTAGTGTTGGAACTAATAATTATATATCATTAGTAGTGAGTCAATGTTAGTTACTGATGACCAATAGCTATATATAGTTATATAACATTAGCTGTGTGATTAGTTACAATTCCTAATAGTAACCAATGGACTAATATATAATAACTATTAGGGATAGCTAATATATCACTAATACCTAATTAGCTTTATCAGTAGTGTTAGAACTAATAGTTCTGTATATCCATATGTTATATATATATATCTCTCACTAGTAGTTAGTCAATGTTAGTTACTAATACCTAATTGGTTATAATTAGTTAAATTAGTGGTTTAGCATCCAAAAATTTGGTAGCAGATGGATAATTCCCATTCCAATTAGTTCGTTATACTATAATTAGTTACAATTAGTCTGAGTTATTATAGTCGTTATTAATTGTAATTAGTTATAATACCATAACTATTTATAATTACTTAGTTATTATCCTAGATTGGTGTGATCATGGATTGGATCATTCCCCGGTTTAGCACCAGAATGTCTAGGCGTATTTCTAGCTAGACCATCTGATGAAAACCAAAAAAAACATGGTGATCTAGACAACAAATGTTTTTTCCAAAAAAAACAAACTTCTATCCGACACTTCATCAAATGATGTCCAGCAGCATAATGTCTGATTTTTGTCTGAAAATGGTGTACCCCAGAGACCCCAAGTAAACGGTCATTGAATGGCAAAATGATGATAAAGCACTGGATTCTAGAGTACCCCATTTTCAGACAAACCTATCTGCTAAATTTCAAGACAACCCCAAACGATAGCTTGGTTTATAGCTAAGTTGTTTGGAGGAGTTACCTGAGTGAAACTCATGTTGTTTGGCATTTTTGTTTTAAGGATTTGACAGTTGTGTATGGATGCGTGCTGTGTTCGTGAAGAGCTGATTCCATGTCAATCTGAATGGCTATGGGGTACTTGGGGGATCCAAAATAGATTAGAAAAACCAATGGTTCTGGTTAATTTGGGGGGCACTCTATATTTGTGCGAAAACTCCAATAGGAAGCGGATCAAAATTGGGGACTTGACTACACCGTTGATCCCTCAAGCCGGGATCGGGGGCTGAAGGATCTGAAGGCTGATGGCTTTGAATCCTCCCATCACTGCTGCATAAGTGGTCTGTATAGAATTGCAAGGGTCCTGACTTGGGATTCTCTGTCGAAAAATGGACCTTTGGCATTCACTCGGCACAATACTTTGCAAAAGTGTGTTCAACCAATCCACCAAAAAAGCCAACTTTTTGTTTCGAACGGCAAGGATGGTATATCTTCAAGCCAGAGGGTTGCTCCCAACACCCCACATGCCAGGGAAAGTGGGTCAGTAAAAAGATGTATATAAAAGCAAAATCAGCAATGTCCACACCTTCTAGCTATCAGTTACCTATGATTACTGGCAGCGTATGGGAATGTCATGACGATTTTCCCAGCAAACATTAGGAATTCCCAGATGTACCCTTCGTTATCCTGGATACATTCAAGGGCCGAGGCGGGTGAAGCCTGGTACTTGACCAAGTCCTCTGTCAGCACAATGACCTCAGTTGCGCAACTGGCAGTTGGGCGTGAAGGCATCTGAAATATTGGGGACATAGGGTTGATATATATATATACATATACATGCACACATAATATAAATATATATATATATATCCGTGCCTGTGAACATATCATAACATCGGACCAGAGCTGTTCATTGGCATCGTCTCTAAGCTCCCGTGCTTCTGTCAGGTCATTCTTCAGCTTCACCAGGGATGGCTCATCTGGCTGTTGTTCCAGTGCCTGGCTGCCAGGTTTCCCATGGCATCACCCCCGCACTGGAGGTTTGATGGGAAAATCTTGGAACTACCAGGCGGGTTTTCCATTGCTATGTTTGATTTCCGGCAAGTACATCATCAAATCCACTGGAAGAGTAGGGAAACGAAGTGTGATCCAGTGTGAAGAAGGTCTTAGACAACATGCGGAAAAAATCAGCCTCATGTAGGTTTGTCTGAGAATTGGGCAGCTCTGATTCTTCATTTTCCATCTTCAAATGGTCATTTTGCTGGTCTTCCGCAAATTTTCAAACGGACAAAAGGTGGTAAAATGGCCGTCTGGCCCTTCAGCCACCAGTCGCTGGCCTCTTCCACCTGAGCGAGCTGCTCTCTGTAGGTGTCCAGCTTGGTGAGCAGCTCTTCAGCTGACTGACTGAAGTCCATCGCAGAGCGGTCGCGGATCTTGGGCCTCTAGGGATCGGAGGGCACAATCTCAACACCCTGGGAAGATCGTCATTTCTAAGGGAATATTTCAAGGGGATAAATTTCAACTTGATGATGGATTGATCATCCCAATCCATATTTTCCAAACTGAGGAAAATGGACAGAATGGACAGAATCTTGACGGCTCGGAACCTCGGAATCCTCTTATTTCTGCGCATCAACAATTCACTTGCTAGTGATGTTCACCCCCCCAGGTATTGGTCTTTTGTAGGGTCAATACCTGTCCCCCGAGACCTGGGGATCTATTCCCTGTCGGGAATAACTCACCTGCCAAAGTTTTTTTCGACTTCGTAAGTAATGTGGTGACCCAATAATAAAACATTCCCAATTGGGGGTCATTATCTGTCAGATTGATATCAAGCTATGGGTCAAGTCAAGACCCTGGTGCCCTTCCACACCAAAATAGCCGGGGATAATCGATGTTCATCCCATTAAATCCCATGAGATCCATCCAATTTCTGGAGGCTAAGGGGACCCATGCGCCAGGCGCCAAGCCACGGTTCTGATGTTTTTTAAGGGCTATGCTGCGGCGACTACGAACCGCTTCAGAGGCGAAACGGCTGCGTCCAATGGATGTAGAACTAGGAACCCATGCCATCGGGAACCCAAAAACAGAGATCTTTAGAAAGCTTAAAAATCATAAAAGTTATGTGAAAATATTTTGTTATAAGAACAACCACCCAGAGTTTTGATGGAAAAGCTCACCCTGTCACGCTGCAAGGCCCAAGCGCTGCTTGCGGATCCAAGCCTCAATGTCAATTGCTGCAACTGCGCCGCGGCACGGGGTCGGGTAGTGCGATTTGCCCATGGATTGACCTACCCTCCAGTAAACTTGCAAAAAAACTATGGAAAGGTCCATTTGTAGATGAGTTACCTACAATAAATGGTGATTTTCCATAGCTATGTTAGTCACCCAGAGGCTACCCTTCACTAAAGTTTCCCCAGCTCAAACTACTCAGTCTCAAACACAGAGCGGTCGGACAAGGCAAGCGTCACAATGAATTCAGTGCCTACCCAAGCCGCGGTAAAAGAGACTTTCCCGGGAGGGACTCTTTGAGTTTACTAAGTTCAAGTTTTTATCACGCGGTAATCCTCCCGCATCCTCATGCTGTGTGATGGGGTTTGAGAATTGCAAACCCTAAACCCAAAAAATCCCACGGTTTATCATCATGTCCCACGTGACGTTGCGACTTTGTGGTAAGTCCATGCCACAAAATGGGTTGATACTCCAAAGAAATCGCTCTAAAAACAGCAGAATAAGCATTCAGAATAAGTCTAAAATCATCAAACAGCATCAGAATGAAACAAACACACATTGATGAAATTGCACAAAAATCCTCGAAAATCATGAAGCATCATGAAAATAAGGCAAAAGTCATCCAGACATCATCAAACAACAAGCCTCATCAAACATCATCACACATCATCAAAATAAGCCTACATTCATCCAAAGTTTGGTCATCATCATAAAGTCATCCAAACATCATCGAAAAACAAAAAACTCATCGGTGCGGTCGGTCCTTTCGCGGCTTCTTGGCCGGCAATGACTTCATCCACATGGACACCCTCGCCGAAGCGGTGCTGACACAAGGCGTTCACCACCTGGAGATCGGCATCGTCTCTTGGACTCTTCCAATGGGAAAAACAACGGTGGAAAAATGAATCAAAAACCACTGGATCAAAACATCATTCACCACCAAATGAATCAAAAACCAGTTGAACTCAGATCAAAAGCACTTTCTCGCTCGGACAGGAAGACCACCCCCCAAAAATAAAGAAACGTGATGTGGGTGTGTGTGATGTGTCGTGGTGTGTGTGTGTGTGATGTGTCGCGATAGGAAACC